AGGTTTATATGCGAAGCACATAAGCCGATACTGACGGTGATGCCTGTAGATGTAGCTATCTTGGAGTTCCGAGGTCAGTATATGGATAATTGGGAGAAATTGGAGGAAGCTGCACTATGACCGAAAAAGTAGTTCTTTAGTACTTCAACAGAGGAAAATATTAAAGATGAGGAATATAAAAATGCTGAGGAAATTTGGAGACATTTTGATTGCAAGACTCTGGGTGAGTATAGTGATTTATATCTGAAAGAGACGTGTTGCTGCTAGCAGACGTCTTCGAAAACTTCCGTGACATATGCCTGAAAACATATAACCTAGATACTGATTTTTATTACACTCCTCTTGGATTAAGCATCGATACATGCTTGAAATATACTTCGATAGAACTTGAAATTTTAACATATTACGACATGTTGTTGATGTGTGAAAAAGGTGAGTATTAAAAAATAAATAAATAAAATATTACATTAATTAATTAACTATTTTGTTATAGGTATACTTGGACGTCTTACACAAGCGAACAAGCGATTAGGTGAATAATAAGAAAACATTCACAGTGCGAGTAAGCCGAACTCATGGATAATTTATCAGGATTGTAAGTATATTTTTTTACAACTTTAATTTTTTAATTTTGAACTATTAAACTTTATAGGCAACAACATGAATGGCTGAGCAATGCCGGAGTATATTATGTATGTTGACTTTGAATGAGTAGAACCTACACTTCATGAATTGAAAAATTTAGATGAAACATCAGAGATGGAAAGAATGTATGAATTCGATATCAAGTAACCGAAGCACTTACATGATGATCATAATGATCTACCATTCTTACCCAACAGTAGTATACTATGTGGGTCTAAAATACGAAAATTTATAGTAACACTTGAATCTAGAGAACGTTACATCGTACACAATAATGTGTTTAATTTAAAGCAGGAGATGGGATATAGTTTGAATTTTAAAGAGGTAAATGTTTAAATATATTGATTATCTTTACTATAAATTGTATATTAATGTTAATTCTCCTTTAGGTGCAAAGGGTGTTACAGTTCAGGGAGTCCCGAGTCACCATGGTTGACAAAATATATTAATTTAAACTCTGAGATAAGGAGAAGGCAAGGAAAACTGATAAACAATAGTGAATTTGGTATGTTACTTTTAAACTTTTTACTGACATTTTCTCTTTATTTTCCAGTCAAAATTATGGATTCAATGCAATCTAGGATTAAAATGAAACTTGTTTCAGACGAAAGGCGAATGCAGAAATCAACCGATCAACATTTAAATGCTGTACTGATTATGAAAATAAAAATATAATGACGGTATCAATGGAGAATACAACCATAGATTTGTATAAATCAATCTATATCAATTGGTAAATATTATACATATTTACAATTTATTATACAATTTATTTGTTTAGTGTTTGTATTATATTTTATTCTATTTTAATACAATTTTTGAAACTATGTTAACAGGATTTGCTGTGCTTGAGATCTCAAAGACAAAGATGTACGATTGTCATGACTATGTAATGAAGAAACACTATGGAGACAAAATCGAACTCATGTATACAGAAACAGGTAAATATTTTATCATATTAATGATTTACGTTATTTTTTAATAAAACATTATTTTTTTTTAGATTCTTTGATATACCGTATTAAAACCACAGAATTTTATGTGAATTTGGCAGCTAATTGTAACTTGTTGGACCGGATGGACGACACCGTGAATCTGCCTCGTGACCACCCGTGTTTCGTTGCAGAAAGGAAGAAGAAACCAGAATTCTTCTCAGATGAATGACTGCATTATAATAATAGTTTTGAGCACTACTATGAAAAATCAACATAAAGTTGTAACTTTAATGAGTTATTTATCGTCTAGCAAAAGCGATGACGATGAATTGGTGAAATTTATAACAAGAAAGCTTGTTTAAAGCTTGTAAAATTTCTAATTTTATTCGAAACGTTGTTCGCTCATAGTCAGATTAACAGGTATCTACATAAATATACTTATTACATATTTCTATATTTAATCTTTTTATAATAATTTGAATGAGTATTGAATAAGGAAACTAAGTAGTATTAATTTAATATTTATTATTTTTTGTTAAAAGGCAACTTTATAATGGAAAGAGCTACAGCTTATTACATACTACAAATATTTGAAGATTCTACATTTTTCCCACAGCAGCATATTATTCAGATCCATCCAAACATTGATTGGTTGAAGACTAGGAAAGTATGAACAAATTGTCAATACATTTTCCTCGGTGATTGTAATTTATTGTTCAAATAATTAAAATAAAGCACTTAGTTTAATCACCTATTTCTAGTGATTTTTCATTAAAACGCAATTGCATTTGTTGTATCGTTGTACATGAATATGTATTAAAAAATATATAAGTTGTATAAGATGTATTAAAGTATTAAAAAATATAATATTATATTACAATTCCTGTCATAACTCATTTTTTTACTCACTGATTTTTGTTACAACTGCTTAGGTTAGATCGCTAGTTCACTACTTTTTAAGTAATTATTTGAAATCAACTTAACAATATACTTAAAAATATACAATTTGTATGTAATTATTTGTATTACACACTTGACAAAAATGAGTTTCGCCATCAGTTGTAAAATGTTTACTGTTTTTATTTAATGGTTGAATCCACTGTTAAATTAATTTTTTTAATTTAGTTGATGATGTTTTCGGCGTTAATGAACAAGTAACTAATGAAATAAAACTTTACTCTGTACCTACACGACTCACAACACCACAGTGTTGTACCATACATGTAGTATTAATCGAACGCCTGGAGCTAGCTATTTTTGAAGTGTAATAATCAGGGAATCAATTTCATTCAAAAAACTGTGGGTACTAAGGCCCTTTATTTATTTTCATATTATCTTATTGTAGTTGTGAATACCTGCATAATGAATTTTAAAATTTTAATAGTAGGTTATTCGGTAACTAAAATTTTTTTAAAAATATACAGTTTTTTAATAATTATCTTATGTTCAAATTTGGACGAAATTACATATTATTAAATAACCAGCACAAATAATTTAAGTTATTTTGTTGTGATTTAAAATAATATTCGTGAGTACTTGAAACTTTTAGAGTATATTATTATATTTTATACACTCAATGACTTTTCAAATGTAATTTTTTTTGGCAAAAATGAATTTAACCTTCAGCAGTACTAATGCTTAATAGTAGGCAAAATAAATTACTTTAATCGCAATATCATCAAATAATATACTAAATTACTAAGTAATATTATAGTCTGAAAATTAGATGTCTTCGCTCAGAATCGTTTTTTGTATACAATGATTTTACCTATATCATTGAATTCAAATTTAATACCACTCATTACCTGTATCACTTGTAACCTACTGTGCAGCAGTGACGTCCACTGCCCACTTTTTGAAATCGGACCTTTTGAAGTTCTTGTATTATTGTTAATGTATATAACTATTGCACGTCGATTAATTGATTTTGAATACTTCGATCTAATCATTAAATGACATGACATATGCTGAGGTTGAGTATAAGAGTGAATTTATCTATTATAAAATTTAAAGGTAAGATTATAATCAAGTACCCTACGTAGGTTTTTATTGATATTATTTATAAGTAGGTTATGTTCATTTTAAAATGGACATTTTCAAAAAGGTTACCTCTTACTTAAAAATAATATTAATGAGAGCCTATGTGGTGTCTTAGATAATAATTTTATCTTTCAATTTTATAATAGATCAATTCACTCTAATATCAAAACAAACAGCATACTATTGAAACCGGTGAACAAAAATGTGCCATATTGTGCGTGTGTAAGTTGGAGACAAAACATGCGGATGCGACATCCCCTTAAAATTAAAGTGAACCTTCACCTATATAGGGAACCTTCTAGGCTTAAGTATTGAATTTTCATTTTAAAATGAGTTAGAGGCATTTTAATATTTTACATCATTTTTCAAACCCAAGGGCGTGCCTCGTTTTAAAATGTTAAATAGCAACCAAAAATTAAAATCTTTTCCAATATTTTAATTATTTGAAGTAAATACTATTAATGAATACAAACAAAGCATACATATTGTATGTTGAGGAATGTAAGTACCTACTTCGCTATTATGTTCCCAGCTATTACATAATATGAAATAATCCTATGTTGATTTAAAGTTTTTTAGATAAAGTTACAGATATGTAATTATATTTGTGCTACAATCACAGAATACAAATAATAACAATGATCATAATAATTTAGTATTGTACAGAATGTAACAGGAATACCTGACAAATGAAAAACATTTTGTTCTTATCAATAATATATTATTTTTATTTTTATATATAATTTAGTGACTAGAGCACTGAATTTATAATATACATTTTTTTTTTTAATACTATGAATATAAAATTTTAAATCTGATTTGAAAATAGCCAACTAGTAAATCTGATTTTAAGAAAACTTTTGAAATGTATAAGGCAAATAATGCGCCTACTTATTAAAAGTGCTGATAAATAATCTATTAAATCATCATATTCACCAACTTTTATTCTATAATTTCTTTTCAAATCTGAACACTATAATTTGTCCAGCGACAGAACACACCACATCCTAGACAAAACTTATTTCTTCGATACACACGACACACTGCCATAATAGAACTGAACTTAATGGCAGGGTGTAGGATAGGGATGTGCAGAATTGTCGTGCTCTCTCCCTAGACAGATTATAGTAATTACTATTGTATTATCCCCAGTATTATACTATTTAAATTACATAGAAACTCAAATATTTATTAAAAAAATTCTTGAATATTAATAGTATTGTATTAATTATTATTTAATTGGTTATAAAAGAATAATACTTGTAGGAGTTAGCAAATGTAAGTATTAATAAAATTTACAAAAATATTCATAAAAAATGTATAAAAAATTTAATTTATCTTAACACTAAAACATAAACATATTCTATTAAATCAATAATTAATTTAAAGTATTCACAATATTGTTTAAAAATTCATTACACTTAAGTTTATATTTTTTTAAATTTAAAATTTGTATCAAACAATTTTCGTCTTTTAATAGAAGAATGTGATTATGTTTAACAAATTTGATTGTTAAATGATTTAATATTATCTAATAGATGAGTCTATTGGGCGATACATCCATTCTGTTGATTCTATGAAATCAATTTCTTTTTCGAGTTCTTTGAGTCTTTTTGCGTGTTCTTCCACGTTTATCAGGTCGATTCCAATTTCATTCATCTAAAAACATAAAATCATGTTACATGTAAATTATGGATTTAAATGCCAAGTTAAATATTAGATTACTTAATGTAAATTTGTCAAATAATATGAAGTGTTTCTCTTTAATATTGATTATTTGAATTTAATAAAGTTATAGATTTAAATTAAATAAAGTTATTTAAGATAAGTATTATTAGTTTGCTTCAATATTATTTGCATGTACTTAGCAAGGATAATAGACTAATTAAAACAAAAATAAATATTATAATTACAAAACAGTATAATTATGTGAACAATATCTAATAAAGATTAGGTTGTACATTTATACAAACATTAATTTGATAACTATTACTACATACAATAACAATAGCAAGCAATGAAGATAAAAATAATGAATTAGTCTAGATTTTGTTTATAACATACATTGCCACATTTTCCAAAATATATGAATTGAATACACCGTGATTCTTCCATCATTAAATACTCATTATTTCAAAAAGTGTAAAAGTTTATGAAAAAAATTTTTTTACATGGTTCTAGTAGTTAAAAACTATTTTTTAAAAGTGTTTATATTTTTTTAAGGTTTTTCTTAACTTTTTTTATGCCTAAAAATGGAATTTAGGATGAGTAGTTTATGAATTAAGTATTTAAAGCTTCAAAGTTGACAAACATGTTGCGAGGTAACTGTATACCACTTTACTCCATGCATCTTAACTTTAAAGAAAAATATTCTGCTTTGGAAAATTACATAAAAACTATGTTGTCATTCAAAAAATACTTAAAATCTTAAGAAATATATATGCATTTTAAAAATGTTGTTTTTTTAACAATAAGAAACATGTAACATTTTTTTTCAAAAACATTTACTTTTAGAAATAATAGGTATTTAGTGATAAAAAAATCACACGGTATACCTATAATTTATTGCATGTTGACCTTATTATTAATTGTACAATACATAACTAGACAAAACGTTTAGGATTTAAATAACACTTAACACATTATATGTAGATATATTTACCTGGCCTTCAGTTTCACATGGTTGCTTTTGTGAAAAAAAAAAAATATATATAAGTTAATGATGATACTTCCTAATTTATATTAAATAAATTTTATCAATAAATAATAACTATAAAAGTATAAAGAATATTTCCCTATAGTCTGACTCATGAAAAATAAACAAATACTAATTATATAATATTATGAAACGTTTAATTATCATAAAAATGCTGTACAATTATTATCATAAGCCATACTATAGCTATTTAAAACATAATTCAACTTCAAATGCACTTATTTTTTTGATGACTTATTTTGAGCAACGGTAAATTTTTTGAAGACACCCAAACTCTTAGTAAAATGAGTATAATATGTCTTTCTATTATACTATTTTTGTAAACGTTAAGGTAATTTTTAACCAATTTCGACTTGTAGAAATAAAACTTCAAATTTCTTTTTTCATTTATCATTAATGTTGAATTTTACAATTTGATAATCATTCACTATAATATAATATTTAACACCCAAATATAAGAACACAGTTTGTTGAAAAAACAACCATTATTATTTAATGCAAAAAGTTGATTGATACAAAATTAATTAGAAAAAGTGTTAATTATCTTGGTATAATATTTATGTGTTTTAAAATCTTTTTTCTGGAATTTTTAAAACCATTTTTGAATGTTTAAGTCATATTTTTAGTATTATTTTTAATGGTTTTTTGGTCATAAAATTTTAATTCCTCATTCATATTATAATACTTTAAATATGCTAATTTATCACAAGGAACCTAAATTATTTAATTTAGCATTTTGTACACTAACTATTTGTCAATTGATAATCTAAATAATGAACTATTAATTATAGTACACAAATATACAAATGCATCTATCCATAGCGGTTGCCTGCTACACTGTGATAAAATGATTAAGCTACAAAACAAATCCAATTAACAAGCCGAAGCACTCTTAACTATTTTAATTTAGAGAAACAAGCATTTTAAAACATAGAACTTGAGCTCAGACATGGTTATTTTGTCAAGTACAAAATTGGCTTTTAATTCTATTAATAAGTTTTTAATGATAAATATAGAAGACTATGTTTGAGTGTCTGATATAACTGAGGTTGTTGAGGACAAAGGAGATCTAAGAATATATTAGAGATTATATGATATTACTGAAAATTAGTATCATTAAAGGAACTTGCAAATCTCCAGTCAATATCAGAGGGTTACAACAAAGGATTAAAAATATTTTTTTGTGAGGTGGTTGTATGAACGAAAAATGTAAGAACAAGAATTTAGAAACATTGTGGAATTTGAGGTTATGGAGTTATAGCTTTCTTCATCTCTTGCGACCAACACAACCACAATTGTGGACAAAATACATTAATCTTAATAAATATAATATTCTATCATATTTAAAAAAAAGTAAACTAATATTTATAAATGTAAGTGTATCATTTATTCTTGATTTTTGACACATGACATTAAAAACTTCTTAAAAATCAATAACTACTTTTCTATGAATGGCCAACAAGAATGTTAACCCATCGAAATTGTGCTAAAAAATGATATGTCTCACAATATGAAAATGTCATTACAGGAGTTGACATAAACAGTATATGATGAGTAATGAGTAATGACTATACTAGACTAGTGTGGTGCATAACATTTTAAATAATTGGCGAGTATAGAATGCAAACTACAATAATTTACAAGTGTTTAGAAATTTAAGATTATTTCAGTTTTGCATGCCATATTTTAAGTTTGACAATAATAGTTTTAATGTTTGATTAAAGATAAAATGAAACATGTTTTCAATTGATTAATGGCAACAAATCAAAAGTGATCTATCAATTACCACTAAATACATATTATTTGCAACTTAGGTAGGTGCATAAAAAACTTTAAAACATTTCAATATCATATGAATGGGATTATAAATTAAGGTCATGGGGGGAAGGATCTATCTTCCACATCACCCAGCGAGACACAAACATATATTTTATAAAGTTCTCATTGTAAGAAAAGATAAAGACAACAATTTATTATTACTCCGATCACACAAGTATTCAAATAAGATCATACTCGAATGATATGTTTTAATGAATTCAAGTAATACCTGAACTAATATGAGTATTGGTGATATTAAATTCTCTGCATTTTCTTGCTTAGTAGTTGATTTATTAAGAGCCCAGCCCTCTCTAATCCACTCTTTAAAAATTGCCGCATTTAAGATTTCGGAATTTTCAGAACTCGATTTATCTCCGTATGATGTATTGGATGATGCTGTAGACGACCACGACGTATCGTCCATGTTATCATCAATTATGGGATCCAGCTTGCAAACATTATCATTTGAATAACTCAAATTGTCTTCAAACATTTCTGATTCATCAGACGAAATTTCTGATTCCTCTGTTGTTGTATAATCTAAATCTCGTAGCGGACACTGATTGTCAAAATTATATGGCATGGTTTGTGACGTCGAAGCTGATGATGTTGATGCTGTTGATGTAGATGCTGTTGGGATGTCACTCATTGTTCTGGTCAATAAATTCTAAAAAAAAATAAATGTTTATCAGTTATTCAGAATATAGATTTAAAAACATTAATTTACAAAAAGCATATTGAAAATACCCATCAGCCATTAAGTGCACCATTAACACATGATTATTCAATAGATAGTTTAAAATTTAAATAATATAGTACCATGACATTTTAATAATAATTTATTTCTATTACATTATATGTGGTTCTGTAATTAAATATGAGCTTATCTTTACAAATAAATATTGTTATATTTTATTAATTTTTTTTTTAGATTTATTTTGTAATACAATAATACATGGTCACAATAAGTATTAAGAATATAAGCTAAAATATAATTATAAAAATTATAAAAAGCAGTCTCTCTTTGGTGTCACTTTTATTATTAAATAGATTATTTTAGTTGAATTTATTAAATATGCATTGTAATAATATACATTTATATATATATAATATAATATACAGTCGAGCTTGGTTAACTCAAAGTTGTCAATACCTCCAACTTTTTCTCCAGTATCTACAATTTCCTATCCACATAGTAATTATAATTGGTAATATAAAGGTTATACTTGTATTCATGTATAATTACTTTGGGAAATAAAGTCATTAATGTTATTGTCACCAATTTGTTTATCTAACAATTCACTGCTCATGCAGCAATTAACAATAAGATTGCCAAACAAAAATGTTTCCTTTTTATAAATCATAAAATATGATAATAATAAAAGTATATATAAATGAAGATTTAAAAACAATAAATACTATTTAAAAAATATTGTATTCAAAATAAATATGTACCTATGAACTTTTGTTTTATTCTATTTTTATTTTAACATGCATTCTCTGCTGGCTTCTAAAATGTCTTATTAACCAAGTTTGACTGTATTATATGATATACTTTATTTTATTATATACCTATTTATAGGTTCAGAATAGCTTGCAATTTGTATTTTATTTGTGTCAAGAAAAAAACCATAAAATAACTTATTAGTAAATATGAAGATCATACGATTAAAATTAAAATATAATTTCAATGTATAACCTACTTAAAAGCACTACAGTATTTATGTTTAAATTTACAAAAAAAACATAAAGAAATTATGCCAATAAATCTTGTAATATGATATTGAACTGAGCCCAAAGAAACCTTAAGGGGATGTTACCCAAGCGTTTGTTGTCTCCGTCTTACCAACTTACAACATAGCAAATTTTCATTTACTAGTTTCAATAGTATGTCATTAGTTTTGTTATAAGAGTGAATTTAAGTATCATCAAATTTTTAGGTTAGAACATTGCTTAAGAGTTGGTGGATTTTCAATATTTTTATTTTCAAGCAAGAACGAGTATGTGAAATTACACAAATCAGAAATACTCAGATCTCGATTGAGAATTAAAATATCCAAAAATCCTTCGACACTTTGATAGTAGGTCAATTCACTCTAATATCAAAACTAACAGCACACTAATGAAACTAATGAACGAAAATGTTGAATGTCATACATGTGTAACAATCATACATCGTACAAAAGCATGGGTACTGTCTTCTTAATACATTTAGATTAAAAATCAAAATTAATCCTAATGATTCAATATTAAATTAAACCTATGGATTATATGGTATTCACTGAAAATAAATGAACAATTATTGTGTTTAGTTATGTTTATAAATTGTACCACATCATCAAGAAATATCAATTTTCATGTGTCATTTGTCATTTTTGAACATACTTGTTTTGATTTTGCAATAATATTTTATACTCATAAAAATTGATTCAGTAAAATAATATTAATAATTTTTGATGAAATGTCATCAATAATATTGTCATACACATGACCATGTCAAAGAGTGAACAAATATGTTACTATACAACTAAAATAAAAAATAGAGAAATTTAGTTTAATCTCAAAATAAAAATCCAATGGTTAAAGTTTTGAAAATTAAAAAAGTTCTATTATTTTGAAGTGGAAGATGTTTCTTTACAAAATCTTCACAGACATAATTTTAACTCAATTATTTTGGATTCTTATTTTGATAAAATAATTTAAATTTTATATGTTTTAAAAAGTTTTTAAGAAGATCCCAAAATGAAAAAGTGTTAGACTAAAAGGCCTATTTCATAAAATACGAACATTTTTTTTTTTGCTTAATGTAGTGTTAGTATTATAGTACTCAGCTTTAAGTAAGGATACTAGAACAATTATATTTTACTATTTACGTTAAATTTATGAAGGATCCAATCAAATAAGGATTGCTTTAATGCTTTGGTACATTTTTTGATACATCTATATCCATTTGATAGCATTTCCATATAACCAAACTATGTTGCCTATCAATGATAACAAAAAATAATAACATTAATTTTGATTTAACCAGTTACAGACAACTTTTGTTTTCACTCTTGTTTAATTTTAACAAATACACACCACCAGTGGAAATAAAAAAAAATTAGAAAAGTTGCATTTCTTTGGAAATTCTTAATATTAAGATATTTATAAATATATCAATTTTGAATTTAGAAACAATTTGGTGGTGACAATTTTTTGAATAATTTAATTAAACTGTTTAAGTTCATTAAGCAAAATATTATAATCCATAAGTGGTTAGGTATATTATAGAACATAAATAAAAACAATATTTAATTAATCAAATATAATATTTAAATGAATATATTTGAGTAAAGATGTAACTTGAATATAAATATATTAAACACCAAGTATTATAAAATGTGATGGGTAAATTAGAGTTGAAAGACTTGATATACTAAATTAACTTAATTAATAAATGAGAGAAGAATTTTCTTATCTCATCCATCTGTTTAATACTTTATTTGTCAGTTTACTCAAAATTAAATATTTACCGGTGGTATATGATTATTATAACATAGGTAAGTCATAACCAACAACATTCAACTATAATTACTCCATACACTAATAAAATACACATTAAAAGATTACAATAAGTGCTTAGTATAGGAATAATAAAACCAATACTTTCAAGTAATAATATTATAATCTAAGATACATACTTTCTTATACAGACATACTTTTAAACTGTACACAATTCAAAGTAGTATCATTTAATAATTTTATAAGTCATTTACATTTTCATTTAATACAGAAAATTAAGATAATTAGTTAATTTAAACCCATTTATTTGAACTTAATATTGATAATTTGAATTAACATCTCTAGTCATTTGTTTAACTAACATAATAGGTCTTGATGAACTATAATTTTGACTCTATAACAATAATTTATAATAAACATAAATCAAGCACATGTAATGCAACAAACAATATTTAAATATTGAGATTATAAATTATTATAAGCCATATGAAAATTTGTTCATAATGTAAGTACTGCAAAAAGGAATACAATTAATACTCAAATGTGTGAAAAATATTTTGAATACAAACTTTAAATTTCAAAAAAAAAAATTGTATGAAGTTCTTTTTGAAATTTATTAAGGGTTTTAATACAATAACATTCTAATTTAAAATGTATTGAAGAATAATTTTTCCTAACATAAATTTGTAATTAATTTATGGTTCAAAATCAAAAATGTAATTTGAAAAATCATATATTTTTTACAAGTCCTACTATAGTCTGCACTTCTTTCTTGATGTCAATAAAAATAAATTTGTATGGAAATCTTTTAGCAATGAGGTTAGGATGTTCATAATTTTTGCATATTTTTTCTTTCAGTCGTACATTGCAAACCCAGTGGTAAATTTGTTCTGTAGAATTATTTTAGTACACCAGTAGTAATATTTTCACTAAAAATGCCATAAGTTAAATGTTCTAATGCTACTCGACTACTCAAATTTATTTTGGAGTTTGGAGAGGATGTATTTTTAACAGATGGGTTAGTGGTATTGTGTAAAATATGTGGAGTCAAAATTGCATCAGAAAAAAAATTTATATTAAAACAACTCATCACAAAAGAAAAACATGTAAAGGCGTTACGACGCAAGGAGACTCAAGATAAGGTCAAAACACAAATATTTATCTCAGAAAAAAAAATCGCTGAAATACTTGTTGGAAAAGAAACTTCAAATGACAGTTTATCAGCTAAACGAACAGCAGATTATGAATGTGAACATTCTAAATATACACCCATTACATCTGTTGATGTTGAACGAATTTTTCAGCTTACAAAAATGTATTATCCGACACACGACGCAAGTTTCTATTTGGAAACCTTAAAAAAAACATTATTGTTCAAGTCAATTCAGAGAATTTATATCAAAAGTGGAACAAAGGAAAGCAGTGACAATAAATCTATGCATTTGAATGTATATTTGTGTGTTTTAAATGTTGAGTAAAAACAAAATGATAAGAACACATTTATTTTTTATTTCAAAATCTCATATTTTTGTATATTTTTATTTGTTTTAAGTTATAAAAAAAATTGTAAATTAATTTAGAATACATATTTGATTAGTAATAAACTAACAAACTCATTTTAGAAAGACATATTTAATTTTTTTTAAGGACATATTTGCATGCGTTTTTTTAGTTTTTAACGTCATAAACATCCCAACCTTAGTAATGACTAATGAGGTGAGAAAGGGACAGAATATAGAATTTGCAACGACTCATACAAATATATTTAATAGGACTTATTATTTACTCATATTTTGTAGATTTATTTAATGAAACTTTGAGATAAAGATTTCCCATAAAATAAAAAGTACTTACATAATATACAAATTTAATACACCAGAATTTCCTTGAACTTTCAAATTGATTCCTCTTAAATTATAAAAAAAATGAATATTTCTGCACATAAAAAAAAAGTAAGGCTAAGCCAACTAAACCTAGGCATAGAGACTTATTGGGCAATTGATCACCACAATTCATATCATAAGCAGTAGTCGAAGTGGGGGGGGGGGATACAGAGAGATGACATCCCTCTACTTATTTTGTCTAGAATAACGTATTCCTCCTAAGACTTGTGTTTTAATATGAAATAATTATTATGATTTTTATATTTATACCTATGTATAAGAAAACTTATGATAGAAAAAGATTGTAGTATTCTGATGCATAAACAAAATGTGAACTATAAAAAAAAAATACTATACAAGGTATGAAGAATGTTATGATGATATCAGGAAATCTGAATTGTAAGGCATCCCTCCACTTATCTTGAGCTATTTCGACCACTGACCGTAAGTGACTAAAGTAAATAACATAATAATTAAGTAAAAAATTAATGAAATAAAAAATGTTCAGAATAATCTATACCTATGGCAATATTATTTATTTACTTATTGGTCTACATATTTTTATTAAAAGATTAAAATTAGCTAAATAACTCACAATACCCAAAAATGTATTTCCAATTTTTTGTAAATTCAGAGAAACTATTTGATACTAATTTGAAAGTTCTAGAAATACTTTGGGGGGCCACATTAAGCATACTTATCTAAGTATAATTTTAATTGTATGTGTAATTAGTTTACTCGCAAATAATTAAAAGCTGCACTTACAAATATTTGTAAAAAAAAAAAATGGCATAGGATAGTTCTTGATATCTACTCGTACAAGTGGGCGGGACAACTTAACAGGTCTTGATAAAAATACGAAATTTGTTGTTGATCCATGAGCATCTGTAAACAGAAAGTTTGACTACACACATACTTAGTAACGATCTGTGCATTTCAATTGTTGATTCCATCGATTGGTTCAAATGCAACGACAATCTACACATCTCAAAATAATTTTAAACAATCTATCATGCAATAGAGACAAGTCATACTACGTAATGAATATGTTATTGCTGACATTGAAACAATTGTTTTCATTCAAAACGCATAGACAATTTTAATTCTAGCGTGAAGCTACAACAACATAATATTATCCATTGATAACATAAAAATGCACAAGAACGTATCGACCCCCCCCCCCACGCCATTAAACTGTAAAAGAAATCATATATGGGTACCTCGTATTATATTATTAGTGAAAAATACATACTTAGAATTCCAGTTTAAGTACTGTGGTGATCGAATTTGGATACAACGAAACTATAGGTAGTGTAAGTTATCAGTTGAAAAACTAAGCGATTTTAAGTCGTGTCAAATACTGATAAAAGTTAACCGTCACAACGATGAATACAAAATTAATAATAACTATAATTAGTTATATTTTATACATTAAACGAGATTAGGTAATAACTTTTAGGTAGCTGACTAGAGTTGTAACGATTTAAAATATATTCACGACTGACGGACTTATGACCAGACGTGAACGAGGGACAACTGATAAGACGTCAAGACGATCGAGACGATAAAACGAATGACCTTAGATCATAATAATGTAGAAAAAAAAGATTTGAGCAAATCACGATTATAATTTTATAGCCAGTAACGACAGAATCACGACAAAATATGACAATCCACTATGCACGGACAGTGATGGGTTGAAAAAAATTAATATTAGTCGAATTTATGGTCGTCCGTGCCGCATAGAAACATAATCTTATCACAGACTGTAAATTTTGATACGGTTGGTCAAATTTATAGACATAGATGTCTATCATGGATCATGGTCAAAATATCTAACGGACAAAATATCCACAGCAAAATGATTTTTCCTTAGACGAATATCCGTGGGTAACGAGTAACGACTTAGTTACCTAATAATAATATAATCAAAACTCACCGAGTTGAGCTCTTGCGGTGTGTGCGATGCGTTGTGCTTGACGCCAAGTTGTTGACATATTTTTTTTATGAAAATAGATTATACAATTGATGGTCCAGATAATTGTATGAAATTGCCCTTTTTTTATGGTTCATTCGTTAACTTACGTTTCAAATCATTATTGTGATCGATTTAACGTAAAACACTAATTAGGTATTATTAAAAACTAACGTTTTTGAAAATAAATTTGAGAAAGGTATATTTGAAATATTTGAATTGTTATCATTTTTTAAAATTGTTTTCTCTTTTGAATGACAATAGATATTAGACAACCACTGAATCGCGGCTCCAGATAATGTAGCCGTAATGTCAAAATTCATTTTGTTGAGGTTTTCGATCTATAAAAATCGAATTTTGGACGAGTATAATTTATTAGTTATAACTTAAGACTATGTATTTACATATAAATCTGAGCCCAAGTTATTACTGTTATTAGTGTTGAAAGTTATAACTTTATAAGTACAAAGTACTTGGTACCTATACCTATTTAAAATTACGATGGGCGGAATAGTGGACCAACACTTTGCGGGGCAGGTACCTTTGTACCACCACTCATAGGTGGTGATCGGTGGGGGGGGCTTACGGGGGCTTAGTCCCCCCAAAATAAATGATTTGAAGTTAAAGACCCCCTAAGAATATTAAACAAACAATATCGTAATTTTGTACAGTTTGCAGAACTTCTATCATTATTTTATATTCTTATATCCACAATTACATAAGTGTACCCAGTACAATACATACACACTATTTACCAATTTATGATTTACGGTAACGTACCGAACAATTAAGTCACAATATTCACAATAATATTATATTGTGTTTATATACCTAATATTGTACAATATTTTGTACCAATTGGCCATCTATATTGAATAACATATTATACAATTCTATTTTAGATGGGAAAAATATTATTTCTTTTCCTGATTTTTGTTAGTCTCGAGAAGCGATAGCTATTATAGGTCTATCGCTATAGCAGCTGTATTAAACCTATCGTAAAGTTTATCGCGATTGAATGAATCGTTAACCGTATTGAGTATTGACCATTTCATACTAAATTATATTTTACTTATTGTTTGATGTTCTTGGGAATACATTTCTTTTGAGATTGTGATTTAGATTTTTAATAAATAATTTAGTTCAAATATGTTTGAAATATTTAAATTTAAATCGTTTATTAATTATTCTTTTTTTTATGTTTGTAACATTTAATTTGTTACTATAACGAGTCAACGAGAACAATTTTTTATGAGTGATCTAATGTAAAAATTAGTTTTTTGGGGGCGTGGGGGCAATGCCCCCACGGGTCTGTTTGTCATCAAATATTTGAGCCCCCCTTAATATTTCACCTTAATAAGCCACCACTACAACAACATCTCACCACTTCGTTCTCTACTTCTAAATTTGTATTTGTCATCACATTTTGCAAAGTGGACAGCGTCCCGTCTTAATAAAATCTATTTTGGTGTTTGGTGCACCTAACTCTAAAAAAAATTACCGTACATACATTTTACCTAATGCATTTTCTATACACTATACAATTTTATAAATATTTTGACACATGTTGAACTTTCTATAATTATTATTATTATTTATTTCGATTATTATAAGTAAAATTTTTTTTTTTTTAAATGTCGATAAAAATTTTTCGCTTGGTCAACAAACTTGAACAAGTAATAAATGCTCCTGGTAAGTTGTTATTAGAGAAAATTAAAAGAAAATAACAACTTTTTATGAACGTTTAAATTTAGTTTTTTGACAAAATTTATAAAAATCACGGAAATTCGCAAATTGTATAGAGTTATAAACTTATAAATTCATACAATTTTTCTTCTCATATCTAGGGTTTGAAAATTCAATGCAAGATTTCTCTTAAGTTTTCCTACTTTAACAACATAAAAAACTTACTGGAAAGTCAAATTAATTTTTTATGAGAATTTGGAGTTAGATATTAGATATAGGTACTGAATTACTCACCAGTAAATGAAAAAAATTCACATACAATTGTTATTTTGTTGTTATTATACCTATTATAAAAATAATAACCTTGGGTACTTTAAATTTTCATCAAGTATGAATCTTATCATTTCCCTTACATGATAAAATTTTCAAAATATTATTCGTGGGTATTTGAGACGTAAAGAGTAAAGAGTACATACGTAAAGAGTACATTGCTATATTTTATATTTTAAACAATGACATTTTCAAATGTATTTTTTTGGCAAAAATACTGTAGTACTTATGCCTAAAAGTAAAATGGGTAAATAACTTTAGTCACAATAATATCATCAAACATAGTAACAGGCAGTCTTTGCTCAGAATCGTTTTTCGTTTACAAATGATGTAGGTACAATGATATCGGATATCATATTAAATTCAAATTTAACCCATCAATTACAGCGACTTTCTAGGCACCTAAAATGTACAGCAAAGCGTTACCCACTTACCCGCTTACCTATTATTTTATTTACACTTTAGGTACAATCAAAAAAGTTGAAAAGATATATTCATTTTTTTTAAATATTTAACTAGGTGTGCATCAATTTTGGATTTGAACAACAAAATGTGCGTAATATTTAAGGGGAAGGCATTCATTAAAATTTTTATTTATATATTATCAAAGATTTAAAAATCATTCTTCATAAGTTTATCTACCTACAAAAAAAAAAGTATACCGGTGGCCGGTAGGTCAAATTATTTTTCCATGAGGTTTTTAAGCTCAAATAATGATCTTGACATTGAATACTCAACTAACTTTTTTTTTGTAATTCTTAGGCTAATAAAGTAATAACACTTGAAATTTGATTTGTATTTGTCAAATTGTATTTATAGGCACATGGAATTTTCGATTTGTATTGGTTTTTTAAATTGATGTCGATAAAAATAATACAAGGTATTAACAAGGTATATTATAAGGTACGTAAGTTGTTGTTAGTGGAAATTAAAAAAAAAAGTTGAGCATAAATCCACAAAAATATTTTATGAGCGTCTGAATTTCAAATTTTGACAAATACATAAAAATCACGAAAATTTGTAAATTATTTTGAGTTAGGAAATTTATAAAAAAATTTCTTTTTAAATTTAAGATTTAAAAATTTAATACAAGACACTTCGCAAATTTTTCGACCTTCATCAAAAAAGAAAAAATGTGCCTACTGGAAAGTCAAATTAAATTTGTATGATCGCTTGAAGTTCAAATTTTCATAACATTGGATATTCACTCGATTTTCCATAGAACGTTTTTCCTATTTTCTTGTGATTCAAAAACGAATAACTGTAGATACTTGAAATTTACGCCAAATGTTTATTTTATCATTCCTACACTTGATAAAATTTTCAAAATATTTTTTCTTGTTTCGAGTTATTCCACAACATTTTGAGTTATCAATTTTCTTTTAATGTCAATAAAATTTTATTCATTGGGTCAAACAAGCTTGACAATTTATTACAAGATTTCTGATTTTTTTTAAAGCTTAGGATTAAAAATTTAAAACAAGGTTCGAAGTAAGTAGGTTATTCTATCACCAAAAAATCTAAAATATATAAAAACACTTTTTTATAATTATTTTGTTGTAATATAGAATCATTCTAATAAGTACTTGAATCTCCTTAAGCATATTATTAAAAACAAATATAACACGCAAATAAAATTTATTCAACCTACCCGCTACGGTAGAAGTAATAATAATATAAATATAATATAAAATACCCTAGGCCGACAATTTCCTCTGCTCGATCTTCCAAAAATTTAAAAATTATAATACTTACTAAATTAAATAATGTGTGGACTGTATTATCAATAGTTGTATTAAGGCCAAACTAACATTTTATAACAGAAACATACACGGTATCTTGTACATATTCGCTGTAGTCTCGATTAACCATGGTTTTCATGTATCCTTGTGATCCCTCCCAACCATTACAATAGATAAATCAGGCTTCTACTGTAATTGATTTTTTAAATTGTCATCAAACAACAAACACTACAACCAACTACACATATTCTAATAAATTATATTTTTATAATATAACTATTTGGAAAATACAGAAATATTGGATTCCTTTAATATGTATGGTGTTTTGTTTTGTTTTGTATCAAAAACACATATTTTATTAGTATACACTATATTTTTGAATTTTATTATTACATAAACATAGCATACATTTGTAGTTTTTAGTGTAAGAACTACACCTTAGATCAGTAGTTTTCAACCTTTTTATGTTTGCGGCACACTTTTTATGATAATACATTAAGGTGGAACTTTATACTAAAATATAGTAAATAAAAAATTATGAGGTTAATTTAAAATTTTTTTTTTAAGCCCAGACTTAAAAAAAAATTGACGTCTAACGACCAATAGTTGTTAATAATATTATACATTGGGGGTCACTAAATGAAATGATATACATAACATAATAAAATAATCATTATTGATAACAAAAATTAAGATCTGGGACATTTCTAATTTTAATAATGATACAATAAGTAACCACCTACCTATTGTTACCATGTTAATGTGGATAGCAAAGCCCCATACCACCCCCAATTCATAAAAGTACGTAGATTATTTGTAAATTATAAACGAGTCTACATTTAAGATTCTAACCCCCCGAAACGGATACTTCATAAAACAGCCATCCAAGCTGCCACGACATATAAAAGTGTACAGCGGAACACCGGTTGAAAAGCACTGACTTAGGTGTACAACATGTACTTAATAATTTTTTCACAATATGGTAACATTAAAGTGTATAATTCATAAGGTAAAAATAAAACAAGCCAACATAGATCCATTTCAAACAAATATTATGAAATTTACAAAACATTTAATAATAATGGAATAGTCTTGATATACATGGTGATTCTTTTAAAATAATTTGTACTATTACTTTATT